GTCCAGTATCTGCATGTATCCTTACAAATATAAACTGTAACTCAAGGTGCTCGTTGAAAAAAACCATTTATAGCGCACTCTTCATTTTGTTTCATTAATTACCTTCCTTTCTAAACTCTAGTGCCTTAAATTCTGCAGTTCACCATCAAGCAGTCTGTAACAGTGGTAAAGTTCTCACTCATTTTGAGCAGTATATCACTTCTCTATCACTACCAAAAAAAATTTTCGTTACCAGTCATTGAGTTAACCAATTTATTATCAAAAATCGTTTTATTATGTGAAAAACTTTTTGTTATGCCAAGTTCCACTTCTTCAAAATTTTTTCTCTGAAACTTCCAATAAATTGATGACATTCTGCAAATAGAATCTGATTAATATACAATCTCACAATTTTTTTCCTTTCCATTTTGCGAAACTCGTACTTTTACCAGATTGAACCTATTATCACTTCTAACAAAAATAAATTATTAACAGTATCAGTACATTACTGTTTGAAATAATGAATTTTTTAAAAAGCGTAAAAAGTGGTAAAAGCTAATTTCTAGAAAAATCTTTGACCAAAAACTTGACCTTTTCCAACATCTACCTAACGCTCAGGAAAAATATACACTAACCCGCAGCGGCAATTAATAGTGGGAATTGGTCAAATGTGAAAAAACACTAATAAAATGTAAAACCTTGCGGTGTACCTTAAATGAATCTAAAAACTATCAGATCCAAATGTTGGAAATTAGATTACAACCGTCGCATAACAGCAGTTCGTCAGTTACGACTTTTAGATCGCTGATATTCCCTACTTTCTGTACAAAAAAATACCGCATTCATTGTTTTTTTTTTTTTATCTGTCAGAATACTTCAGTCAAACTTTCTGAAATTGAGGTTCTTAAGTGTTTTCAGAATACCAATTCTGATGCTAGGCATTAACCAAGCAAATGGCAAAAATAAATGCAATACATTCTTTATCCTACACTGATAAAGCTACGACTAGAAGTCTAGTTAATAAAGAAACAATCTGTTAAAGGCACGAAAAACTCTAAGGACTGGAAAGGTCTTTTCAGCATGAAAAAGAAGAAAGATAAAAAGTTAGAACTGACTATATATTCAATTTCTTTTTTCCCAAGCAGAGAATTACTGATTTGCTCTGTCGTACTGATGCATAACTAATTGAACTTTTTCTTTCGTGCAAAGGTTGACTAAGTAGGGCACTTAAATTCTTAACGCAAATCTGACACTTTTTTAGAACGAGAAGTATTTGAAATCGTGAACTTGTTAAAATCTCTTTAATCGGTTTCTAATACAGGTTACTCTACGCCTTACTATTAATTAGTGGAAAGAAAAACAAACTTCATCGGCAGTCCCAAATATTTACCAAAATTCATCTTCAACCTACACTAAAATTTATGACTGTCAAACACCTGCATCGCCATGTAACCAAAAAATTTTTGGAAAACAAAGAAACTTTTAAAAATTTCAACTTTATCGGCAAACTAAGTGTAGACCAAAGCTGGCTGAACGATCCAATAGCTAAAAAAATTGGCTCTTATACATGGTTTTACGGTCTGCGCTCATTTCAGCTATGCCCAGTCACTTCGTGCAAACCACTCAAGTTTGTTGAGCGAAATTACTCTAATGTCACGCTAACAATTAGATATTCAAATTGTAACTTTTATTTGCAATTTCGGAAGAAATATATGATCAAAACCTCGCTTTTATGTTGATTCAGCCACTAAATTCAATTGAATTTCTCATTATTTACTTGATGTAACATAAAAATGCGACTTACTTAAGTGTTGGATAAAGGGTTGTACCTCGTTCCTGAAAAAATTATGTTCCCACTATCCAAAACGCCACCCTAAGTCCTTGATATCAAGGCAGATTACTGGGAATAAAAGGACCAACTTTATTCAACAACTGTAGTCACACATCTGACCCTCTGAAGAGCTTCTCGTGATATTTCTTCCTTAACCAGGTAATATCGGTGTTCAGTACACTGCGAGGCAGCTCAGAAAACCTCACACTAGGGGCATGAACTGTCGCTGACCTTCGTGTAGCCATGCCAAATGATCCAAAACCAACTCCAACTTCCGGCTTCCATTCGAAAAAAAAAAAAAAAAAA